GTCAGGAGTCGCCAAGAAGTCTCGGCCGAGAGCGCGATTCCTAAGTAAATTACGAGGGCGTCCTCGGCGAGAGCGCGATTCCTGAATGGCGAGGGCGTGGCGCCTGAAGAAATTGCGAGGAAGTCACAGGCGAGAGCACGGTTCTTGGATACATTGCAAATAAGTCCCCAGCGAAACTGCGATCTTCAATAATCTGCAAGGAAGTATCAGACGGGAGCAATTGTTGTTGCAAACTTGGGGCCAGGGGCACAGTTTGAGGAAGCTTTTCCCCGTTCAGGGTGCGAGCCCCGGAGGGGCACTTCAATTGCAAAAGAAGCATGTTACCGGAGGGGAGAGATCAACAATAAATATTCTTCAACACTTAGAGATCAAAAACAACAACAACAACAACAACAACAACAACAACAACAACAACAACAACAACAACAACAAGAGTAGCAGCAGTAGCAACAACAACAACCACAACAATAATAACAAGAACCACTACCACTACAACAACAATAACAACAACCACAACAGCAACAACAACAACAACAACAATCATTGTAAGACTGATCTCTCTTTTCGATTCGCGTGCCATTCATCCCGCATATCCCAAACCCTCGGTACCCGCCCTCTTCGTGTTCGATCGTACACTCCCTGGGGTTTCTCTTCCCTGCCTGCCGGGTGTAGTTGGCGCAGCCCCGAAAACAAGGGAAGGAGGGGAGGACTGAGACAAGGGAGTGGGAGGAGGATGGAGCACGAGAGAAATTTGCAGGAGAGGGGTCAAGAGCAGGAGCACACGCGGCAGAACTAGACTGGCGTGTCGGCTGGGCGGACCCTAACGGGCAGGTCGGGCGGGCAGGCCCAGACGGCCAAGTCGAGCGGGCGGATCGCTAAAGCGCCAACCCATCACGAAGGATGTCTCGAGCGATAACGTGATGCCCAATCCAAAGCAAAAGCGTGATTTGTGAGTCTTGGGGGCGCGGCGCCGCAATCAATTGGGAGTAAGTACCACGCGAGAGCGCGATTCCTGGATAAAAGTATGAGGAAGTCTGGCGCGAGAGCGTGAAGTTGAGATACAGTGTGAGGCAAGATCACGCGGGAGCCGCTGTTGCTAGAAGCCGGGCGCCACAGACAAAACCGCTCCAGGTTAAAAAACAGGGTGCGAAGCCCAGGAGGAGCACTTCCGTTAAGAAATACCAAGGTCACCGGGGGAGGGGTTCAGGAGGAGGAGGAGGAGAAGGAGGAGGAGGAGGAGGAGGAGGAGGCGATGGAGATGGAGATGGAGGAGGAGGAGGAGGCAGCAGAAGAAAGAGAGGAGGAGGCAGGAAGAGGCAGGAGGGCGACGGACCCAGACCCCCTCGAGAAATTATTGTTTTTGGTTGGAATCAAACTTCGACCAGGAAACATCGCGCGTTGGAGCCCCGTGCCTGCACCGTGGCCTCCCTGGCTCTTTCGGTGGGTGAAAGCGCACGTGGGGGCCCCTTTCCCCGGGTCCCCCCTCCCCCCCTAGCAGTAAGCAACAAGCGACATCGGCAATACAAGCGCCCGTCTTTGGCAGTCTTCGGATTCCCTCCGGCCCCCTTGCAGAACTCCATGGAAGTAGGATCTCTACGCAACCCTGCAAATCCATAAAATCCCTAGTGAGTCATATCGGATGCCCATAAAGAACCTTGTAGGACCCTTGCGGAACCCGATGAAAACCCGGCGGACCCCGACGGAAAGATGTACAATGGGATCCCCATAGGCCCCCTTTCAAAAGAACCCTGTAGGTTTCCGCGACGATCCTACAAAGTCCATTTCAGGTTCCTCTAGGGTTCCGTAGGGATCTTGCAGGGTCCATACAGGGATCCTGGAAGGTTCCGTTGGGATCCGATCTGGTCCCGTATGGACCCCATCGGGTTCCCCAAAGACCTCTTTAAGCTTCTGGAAGGATCGCATAGAACTCCATAAGGGATCGTCGATGGTTTCCATAAGGATCCTCACACTTTCCGTACGGAACCTAGAAGGTTCCGTAGGGACCCTGCAAGATCCTGTAAGGATCCTACAGGGTTCCGCAGGGTCTCTACAGGGTTCCTTAAAGATCCTGTGTGGTTCCGTCGGGATCCTACAGGCTTCCGCAGGGGTCCTAGGAGTCTCCGTACGGCCCGATACAGTGCCTTAAGTATCCTACCGGATCCATATATGGATCCTACACGGTTTCGTAAGAATCCTCGAGGGGCCCATGTAGGGATCCTGTAGGGTCCTGTGGGGATCATAATGGCTTCCCAAGGGGTCCTAGAAGATTGTGCATGGATCCTACATGGTCCTTCTAAAAATCTGATTGGGCTCCGTAAAGATAGAGACGCTGCAAAATCCCTACGGACACACATTGGAAACGAATCCAAACCCTATAGGTACACTGCAAAGCCCCGACGGAACCTTATAGGATCCCTACGTAACCATACAGAATCCTCATAGGCCCTTCTAAAAAAGGATCCTTACACGGGACCCGTGGCATCCCCACCGGATACCTGCG